AACAATCGGTTTCCCATCTTTGCTTTGTTTTTCAATTATAGGATTCCGAACAACCTGCGAAGTTTAGAAAACTAAAATTATACAATGAATTATGATTTTTAAATGTCAAAAGGTTTGAGCAGACCCACAACTTAAAAAAATAATCCCAATGGGCCAGAAAGATAGCATAGCTAGGGCACTTGCCCTGCATGTGACCAACCTGGGTTAGATCCCCAGTGCCTTTTATGGTTCCCCGAGTACCTTCAGGAGTAATTCCCGACTGCAGAGTTAGGAGTAATCCCTGAGCACTGCTGGGTGTGGCCCCCAAACTAAAGCAAACGGTCCCAAGAACAAATTTACTGAACAGGAGTTCGATTCTACAGTCGCAACCAATTTCATTGTGATTTTACTTTGCTGCCATTGCCTGGACATCCCTAAATCCCCAACAGTAAAGATCACGCAAAGCTACAAAGTCCAAGAGCTGCACCAGGGAACAAGTACCATGACCATCCAGAAGTTTTCCTCCGGCTCGTTGAAGAACTGTCTATTCTTCTGTGTGTGTAGAGACTTTGCAGGCTTCGACGGACTGAAAGTTCTGGAAAGGTTGGGAGGACACGTTTGTGGTGATCGATTCTCCGGCACAGAGAGGCCAAATTCTCTGAGCTCATTTAACAAACGGGCTTTACCTGGTGAACTGCACAATTGCCTCGCACAATCCAACGTTCCTAATCTTTTCGTTCTTTTCGACTTCATTTGGATGATAAAACAGAATCTTATTTTCCTCCTAAAGCAGGGGAGGAACGGAGGGAGGGAGAGAAAGAGGGAGGGAAAGGGAGAGGGAGAGAGAGAGAGAGAGAGAAGACAGAGACACAGAGACAGAGAGAGACAGGAGGGAGAAGGGGGGAGGGGAGACGAGCATAGCGGGTTAGGAGTTTTTCTCCCTTAGCACCGCTGCAATGGGCACGCTTGACCCTGACCTCTCACCACCAGGCAAGTGGGGAAAAAAACGAGAACCGTTTCCTCTGCTGCTGAGAATGTGCCCGGCCTCGTGACAGCCACCAAAAGTGTCACCAGTCCCCGGCTCTCCAGGGGCGCTGCCAGCGTCGGGAACCCAATGAGGCCCCGCTGCGGAGCGACCCGCCTCCCGCGGTGGGCGCGCCCGGGCCGGGTCACCCCCGGCTCCCTCCCGGGGCCGCGCGCCCCCTCGGCCGACACCGGGCGCCAGGGCTTGACGGAGCTTTTCCGGGGCAAGCCCCTTTCCGGGTCGCCTCCGGAGGTCCCTTCCCGGGTCCAGTCCCGGGTCTCCCCCGCCCCCCCCGCCCCGCGCCCGCGTTCCCGGCCGAGCAGCAGGAGGCCCCGCAGGTGCGTCCCGCCGCTCACCTCCCCCTCGCGCGGCCCGAAGCGCGGGTTGTAGATGAAGAAGCTCAGCAGCGCCGGCGGGAACTGCTTCTCCTGGGCCGCCCAGCCCGCGGCTCCGGGCCCCGCCGCCGCCATCCCAGTCCGGCCCCGGCCCCCGCCCCCGGAGCCTCCCTCCGCCCGCCCCGAGCAGTCGCGCGCCGCTCCGCGCCGCACTTCCGCCTCGCTCGCCCGCGCCCCGGAAGTGCTCGCCGGGCCCCGGAAGGAAAACCCGCGACCGCGCCGATCTTCCCGAGGGCTCGCGTTGCGGGGTGTTGGTCGGTCCCGGGAATCTTCCAGGCGCGTCCGTCTTTCCGGGGTGGGGGGTCCGTCCGCACCCGGATTCCTGCCCGCCCGCTCGCCCAGTCCCGCCCAGCCTTTGCCGGCTGTTCTGGACCCCCGTTAGAGGGGCCTCGGGGCCCGCAGCAGCACAGTGACCGCAGGTGGCACCTTCCTCCTTGGCGCCGGCAGGACAGAACAAACCGCCCTGCCCGCTGGCTGCTCCATGACCAGTCACGACGAAACTGGGACATGGTTTGGGGAAGGGGAGCAAGAGTTTGAGGAGTCTGCAAAGTTTTGTTTTTTTGTGTTTTTTTTTTTTTTTTTTTTTGCTTTTGAGGTCACACCCAGCGATGCTCAGGAATTACTCCTGGCGGTGCTCGGGGACCCTATAGGACGCCGGGGATCATACCCCGGTCGGCCTCGTGCAAGGCAAACGCCGTCCCCGCTGTGCTATGGCTCCAGCCCCGGAGTCTGCAGAGTTCTGTCCAGGAATGGCCCCGGCGCGACATCAGAGGGAAGAACCTCCTGGTGCGGGCTGGGGTACCCCACTGCTGCAGTGCCCCCCCCCCCCCAACAGTGCCTTAGGCCTCTGAACCCGCAGGCATGCCCGGAAGGACAGTGTTGCAGGCCGGGAAACAAATCAGAAGCACGGGGTGGAAGGTTGTAAGGATAATGTCCCTGGAGGAACCGGGACAAGTGCCCTCTGCTTGGCTGCCGCCCACCGGGAGACTCGTCGTAGGAGGGACAGCGCTGGCCCCTGAGACTCTGCAGCACCACAGCTGCTGTTGCCCGCCCCCCACCCCAGTCCCTGGTCGTGGCCTTCCAGCTCTGGGTCTCCACCTGCTCTTGAACTCTATGGCCCGTGACCCAGCTGGAATGACTCACTCCTGCTGTTTGCAGATCCCAGCAGACCTCTTGGCCAAACTCAAGAGAGTGTTGCTTTGGGTCTCTTTGATTATGGGTTTCAGTTTTAAAAACACGCCCCCTTCACTGGTGGAGGGATGGGTATTTGATCATTGTATAATTGAAATCCAAGCACAAAAATTTGTAAATCTACAACTGTACTTCATGGTGTTTCACTAATAAAAATTTTTAAAAAAATAAAATAATGGATTAAAAAAAACACGCCTCCTTGGGGCCAGAGCGATAGCACAGCGGGTAGGGCATTTGCCTTGCACTTAGCCAACCTGGGTTTGATCCCTGGCATCCCATATGGTCCCCTGAGCACTGCCAGGAGTAATTCCTAAATGCAAAGCCAGGAGTAACCCCTGAGCATTGCTGGGTGTGACCCAAAAAGGAATAATAATAATAAAAAAAAATTTAAAAACACGCCCCTGGTCTAACCTGCTTGAGGAGGGAGGAGTTGGCATCTGGACACCAAATGGATCAGTGTCCTCAGCTCTGCTGGATCGCTTCAGACTTCGAACCAGTCATTTCTTCATGTGGTCGAAGCGAGGCCTCACACTTTACTCATGTCACTGTTCTGTGATCACAGTGTGGAGACTCCAGTCCTTCCACCAGTGTGTCAAGGTCCCTCCCCCATGCCACCTCCTCTTGTCCATTTCTGGGGATTTACCTCCCTCAGGGCCTCTCTCACCCCTGACTCTGCCTCTCTCTACGCCACAGCTGAGCAAGCACCTCTGGTATTTGTCTTCTCTTTGACTCACTCCATTAGTGTGAAACTCATAATTCCATCCAAGTCGCAGCTAGCTGCAAGATTTAAAAAACTGCAAGGTGGAGTTGGAGAGTGGGTCAGGCGCTTACCTGGTGTCCAGCTGACCTGGGTTCAATCCCTGACATCCCAGATGATCCTCTGAGCCCTGCCAGGCAGGGAGCCAGGAAAAAATCCTGAGCACTGCCAGTGGTGGTTACAAGACAAAACAAAAAATGAGGCATTTCTAAAGCAAATTCTGGGACAGATTTCTAGCAGAAAACCAGAATTTCTAGAAAAGGAATAGATATTTGGCAGTTATAATGACCTTTTGTTTTGTTTTGTTTTGGGGCCACTCCTGTCAGTGCTCAGGGCTTACACCTGGTTCTGTTCAGGGATCCGTCATTTCTGGTGACTTAGGGAACCATATAGGGTGCCTGAGATCAAACCCAGCTTAGCTGCATGCAAGGCAAGCACCTTGTCTGAGGTCTCGGGTCCCTAGGTCATGCACTTTTTTAAACTATCTTGTACACACATTATACCGTAAAAACTGGTAATAGCACTTCTATAACAGACGCCCGCCTGTGTATCTACTGTGGGAGCTTTGCACTTTAGTCAACTGGTCTGCCTGTGTTTGCAGCTGGAGCCTGGAATCAGCCAAGCAGACGGTGAGGATAAGGGGGTACGGGGGGTGTCTAAGGATGAGCTGAGGCCCACGAGAACAGATCGGTACTTTCTCCCTGTCCCAGCTGGAGTGCTTTGTCACGGGTGCAGCCTGCACTTGTAATTGGGGTCCCCAGGATGCTGGCAGCGTCACTCCTGAGCATAAACCAGACAGCTGAGCCTGGGGTCAGCCTGCGAGAACAGTCTGAGTTTGGAGGTCTGCCCGATGTGAGTTTCCTGGCTTCTGGTTTCCCCACCTCACAAAAACCCAGTAACAGGATCCCCAGGTGAACCTCAAATGTTGAGGCAATTCTCGGGGTAACTGACTCAGGCGGAATCAAGTAAGAGCCAGGAAAACAGAAGCAGCTGAGTGGGCGTGGGGCCAGCTTGGTTTTCTAAGACAGCAGGTTCGGAATGGGGCCGTTTGAGGGGAAACAGAGGAGCTGACAGAGCCCGGGGGCTCTCGCCTTCCTGCCTGGGCCCCTGGCTGCTCTGGTGCTATTCGCTTTTCCCTGGAGTGGCAGAATCCAAAGCTTCTGTCCCCCAGGGTCCACCTGTCTGTTTCAGACTCAGACACTTGGTGGAGAAGTTCCCAGCGTGACAGAGCCACTAACATGTTGCTGTTCTTGGTTCCGGATCCTGCTGGTACCGTTTATTCATGCACAGCCTGAGCGCTGCCACTTCCTAGCATTAGACAACTTCCCAGAAGGCCCATTCTTGTACTGGGGAGACAGCCCGAGGGGCTCTTGCACACTTTGCATGCCGGAGGCCTGGGTCTGATTCCCAGCACTGCCAGGCGTGGCCCCCCCCCAAACAGAAGCACAAACCACAACAACAAAAGCTCCGCCCCTGATTTGCTTTCCTAGCTCTAACTGCACTGGAAGCAAACCCAGACCACACCCACGCTCGGCGCAAGATGAGAAACATCTTTATTGGATGCTTTCTTCAGGGGGTATGAGCCGCGGAGGGCCTCAGAGAGTCTTCAGGACATGCACCTCCCAAAGTCAGGGCCCACTACCACACAAAAACAGGGAGCAGATTGCAGAAGCATTTCAGGGGGAACGGATAAACAAATTAGGGGGACGAGGTGAAATTTCCCTTCCTGGCTGGTTTCTCTTGCTCCAGAGCGGAGTCCTTCAAGCATGCACCATTTCCTGGAATTCTAGAATGGAAGAGGGGAGACTGAGTCTGTGAGCTGAGTCAGTCCCTGGCGTCTTACGCCCACTGGCAGGTCCCAAGAGGAAGGGGAAGGAAGGCATAGGTCAAGATGGGGCCCGAGGTACAAGAGGCAGAGGCCCGTCAGGACGGCCAACCCTGGTGCCCGCGATATCCTGCGAGTAGACTGGCACCAGCCTGGACCTCTCTCTGCCAACCAATGGGCTCAGTGACAGTGCTTTATGGTCCGTTGGCACCTTTGTGTCTCATCTTAGGACGGATGGAAGTGGCAGGTATTTTTCTGAGAACTGCATGGGCTGGAGAGATTCCTGGGACATGTGTAACTTTTTTTCTGTGAAATTATAGCCCGACCCCCAACGGTACTAGAAGGGAAAGAATGATGATGTGGAGGATGCTACAGACTCACATGGAAAGCAGGGCACTGGATTTGTTGATTGGGCAGTTCCTCTTCTTTAATTCTGGACCACACCCAGTGGTGCTCAGGGCTTATCTTGGGCCTGTGCTCAGGGATCACGCCTGGTGGCAGATGCCTTACTTGCTGTCCTATCGCTCCAGCACCAATGTTTTGTTTTATTGTTGTGCTACTCCCCATAATACTTAAGGGCTACTCCCAGCTCAGTGCTCACTTACTCCTGTCAGTGCTCAAGGGACCATGTGGTGCCCAGGACTGGACCCAGGTCCCCTGCTTGTGAAGCCCGTCGAGCTGTTTTCCTGGCCTTGGGGTTGTTTTCCGTCTATTGATAAGCTGTACCTGCTTGGAAGGTTTTTTAGGCTTATGTTGTTGAAGTAATCCTGCCTGAGCTCAATATTGTTCTGAGCTGTCTGCAAGAACTGCACAGACAGGGCTAGTAGGATGGAGAAATGAAGACGTGAAATAGCAGGTTTCAATTTGGGGACCTGCACAGTTTCTGCGGAGTCAGCAAGTAAGCCACCTGCTGCACACAGGTAACCGGGCCTGGGGAGCCCTGCCATGCACGTCACTGACCCAGGTTTGATCCCGGGCACCCCGTGCTCCCTGAGCACTGAATCTAGTGCTACGCTGGCGGCCCCAGCCCCACTGTCCTTGGTCCCTCGCACTGATTCGCAGATGTGATTGGCTGAGACGCATCAGAGGACCCCCCCCACGCCTCGTGAGCACAACCTGGGGACACCACCCCCCCAAGGAAAAAATTTCAGATGACAGGTGACTCCCACAGTCAGGTGAGAATGTGATTCCAGTGCCTTGGGCTCGGCTGATGCCACAGGCGGGCAACTCTCCCACTGGCTGTCACATACGGACCTTGGAGGGCTACATCCAGGACAGGGGCTTGTTGGAAGCTGTGGGAGTTCAGGGTCCAAGCCGCACGGTCCTTCCCGAAGTAAAGGGACCACATGCCTGCACGGACTGAGGCCAAGCTCTGCAACCCAGACCTGATCTCTGATCTCTGCGGGGGCTCCAAGGGTCTTGCAAACAATCCAGAGATAAGTGGCTGGTGCCTGAGGGGCCTCTTCAGCTCAAATGAGTTTACATGCCCTCATTTGCATACACTTACATACGCACACTCATTTGCATGTTGAGGCTGGGGGCTGGGGGAGGGGGTTTAAGCCTGGCTCCCAGGGCCTGAGCCTCCATGCCCCTCTTTCCTTTGAGGGCCAAGTGGATGTACCTTCAGCCCCGATTTTGCCATCTCCGTCACTGTCTGCAGCTGCCAGCAGGGACTTGGTCTCCGTCTCAGTCAGTTCCCTCGCGCTGCTCTCAAACTTCTGGAGGAAAAACCTGCCGGAAAACCAAGGGGCGTGTGGTTCCTGGAGGCTCAGGGGTCACCGCTGCTTTCTTTTTCCATAAAATAAACCATCTGGAGTGAGAGCACAGCGGGTAGGACGTTTGCCTTGCTCGAGGCTGACTTGGGTTCGATTCCCAGCATCCCATATGGTCCCCTGAGCACCACCAGGAATAATTCCTGAGTGCAGAGCCAGGAGTAACCCCTGTGCATCGCCAGGTGTGACCCGAAAAGAAAAAAAAAATCTGTGCCCCACAATCAAGGTCCTCCTAGCAAGCAGGGTGCCCCCATTGTGGAAGCTACCTCAGGCTGTTTTGCCAAGGGACGCCCTAAAATGCTTGGACCTGCTGCCTTCTTTGAGCTTCCCTTGGTGCACCTGTGGCCGACTGATCGCCTGTCCCCTCTGGGAGGCGCTGGATGCCCAGTGTCCAGGCAGGCCCCTGCCGTCCCCCCAACCCGGCAGTGTCGGGGCTCAGACCAGCTCAGGACACATCTTACTTCAGCTCCTCCTCATCCAGGTACCCGCTCTGGTCGTTGTCTATGAACCGGAAGACGTCCTTCACCTCGCTGGCGGACATCTTGGAGAGACCTGAGGTCTGGAAGAATTTCTGGGGTTCAAAAGTATCGGGGTCTAAAGAAGAGGAAAGGGATTATTTGGATGCTGTCAGACAGCACCCTGCAGGCGGGCTGTGTGAACCCACATCCACCACACTCTGTGGCTACAAAGTCAGCACAGTTTTTGTTGTTTGGTTGATTGTTTGTTGATTGTTTTTTAAGAGGGCTGGAGTGATAGCACAGCGGTAGGGCATTTGCCTTGCATGCAGTCAATATAGCCGACCTGAGTTCGATTCCTCCGCCCCTCTCAGAGAGCCTGGCAAGCTACCTGTGATGTATTCAATATGCTAAACACAGTAACAAGTCTCACAATGGAGATGTTACTGGGCCCGCTCGAGCAAATCGATGAACAACGGGAGGACCGTGACCGTGACCGTGACTTGGCAGTGTTCGTGTTGCCTTAACACCGCCATACTGTACCTCTAGCCCTGGGAAATTGTTTCTGTCCTTCCTATCATCCTACCTCTCTTCTTTTCTTCTTTTCTTCCTTCCTTCCTTGCTTGCTTCCTTCCTTCCTGCTTTTCTTTCTCATACCTGACAGTGCTCAGGGCTTACTCCTGGTTTGGTGCTCAGGGATTACTCCTGCCAGACGCCAGGAAACCCTTTGCAGGTACCTAAGATCAGACCTCAGTCATCTGTCCTCTACAGGCAAGGAAAATGCATTCCCTCCTGGCTCCATTTTTTTTTTCTTTTCGGGCCACACCTGGCGATGCTCAGGTGTTATTCCTGGCTCTGTACTCAGGAATCACTCCTGGTCGTGCTCAGGGGACCATATGGGATGCTGAGGATGGAACCCAGGTTGGCTGCATGCGAGGCAAAGACCTTCCCTGCTGTGCTGTCGACCTAGCCTGGCTCCACTTTTTTGTTTGTCTGTTGAGCCTCCTCCAGAGGTTTCCCAGTCGCTCCCAGCACTTCTGGGCGACCTTGTGGTGCTAGACTGAGATCTAGCTGGAGCTCCTCTCTCTGCCCCAGCTCTGACCAGCTCCCTGGCCTCAAAACATTTCCTTTCAAACACAAACAGGGCCACAGTTTGGAGGTGGCCATAACTAGACCTCCCGAATTTTGCTGGGTGCCCCTCTCCTGCCCAGCACCCCGCACCCTTCGTTTGGCCCCTGACATGTGCTCTCCCCAGGCTCGACCCGCGCGACCCGGGGGCCCCTCGGCCCTCACCTTGGCACTCCTGCAGGGCCGCAGCGATGTCATCAGCGCTCAGGAGGTCCGTGATGCTCATCTCTGCCTACCCGCACAGGGCAGATGGTGAACGGTGAGCCGCACATGCCCGTGGTGGGGTTACGGGTACCCTCCCTGGCCCCTTGAAACTGTCTTTTGCCCCCAAGAGCTTTTTAGTGTGACACCCAGGGCCATGCGTTCTTGTGAGGGGGACAGAGTGTCCCACAGAAACCACAGCCCGAGAGGTCCCAGCCTGCCATGTCCCCGAAATACTCTCCACAGAAGAAGAGAACTGTCCCTGGGTCTCCCTCCTGCTTTTGAAGCATGTTGATGCTATCAGATGCTTGGAGGGGCCTCTGCAGAGCAGCTACTGATGCGGCAACAGGCATTGCCCCCCAAATGTGGTGTGTGGGGGGAGAGGAGGGGAACGAGTGGGTGTCTGTGGCCATTGTGTGGGGGAGAGTCTGTGTGGCCCACAGGTTGGGATCAGAGACAAGAGGGACCCGCAGGGGGGCCCAGGTACCTGTCGCGCCAAGAGAGGGTGCCCCCGCTTACTCACCACTGTCTCCCCCCCAGCAGTCAGGAGCAGAACACAGGTGCCCCCGCGACTTTCTGGGGCTCTTTTATAGCACCCAGGAGGCGATAGGGAGCGCCTCTTAGATTTCCTCGCTGGGGATCAGGTAGAAATAGCTCGGATGTCCAAACTTACTGATTACTCCGCTTTCTTTTTTTTCCTATTTATATCTCAAGAGAATGTGGGTGGGAACAGCTGATGTTCTAAGAAACAAACCTCAGCCAACTTGCACTGGGGGGTCAGTGTGCAAATGAGGGGCCACTGGACACTCCTCAGCAAGGGAGACAGTGGCTGGAGTGTGGGAGTGCTGGGGATGCCCCCCTGATGGCACATTCCTGGATGTTGGGGGCCCCTCTGAGGCAAGGTGATTAAGCTGTGAAGCTGGGCACGTGGAGGTGTTGGCCTCCTCGGAGATGGATAGGCAGAGTCCCGGCCTTGGCGAGACGTGGCAACTTCCTCCACGAGCCTCAGTCTGATCCTTCTCAGTCTTGGCTTGAACTGTGCTCCCCAAAGACTAAAATCCCTGGACTGTTTCTCCTGCCCCCAAAGTGCTGCTTCCGAGGGGCCCACAGGCCCAACTCGGGATGGGGTGATCCTGACTCTTGGCCTCCTGGAAGAATCCACGACAACAGCCTCACACAGCTCTGTCCGCTGCGACAGCCAGTCATTCGCCACGGCCAGTGTGGGAACGACCTACATGCTGGTTGATTTGAAAAAGAAAATGTGCTCCGGGCCCAAAGGCAGAGGCCGAGAGATTGGCCCGGGAACAAGAGTGTGCCACATTCCCCATCAGCCCCTTGGTGCGCCTGAGCCCCAGTGACAGTGACCCCAGAGAGGGGGAGAACAGTGCATAAGTGAAAGGAAACGTGCGGAGGTGTCCAGGGCCGAGCGCCATGCTGCTTTGGAAAGGAAAAATCACCACTTAGGGCAAAAGGGCCGGTCAAGGACACCATGTGGGTTAAGGCAGAGAGAGGACAATGACCAGGAAGAAGATGTCACTGAATGGACAAAATAAAAGGTGTCACTGAGGAACAAACAGTAAAATAAAGATAACTGCTGTGTGCTGATGATAGAGCTGGAGTTCCTGGGCTGGAATGATAGCACAGCGGGTAGGGCATTTGCCTTGCACGCGGTCAACCCGGGTTCGATTCTCAGCATCCCATATGGTCCCCCAAGCACCACCAGAAGTAATTCCTGAGTGCATGAGCCAGGAGTAACCCCTGTACATTGCCGGGTGTGACCCCAAAAAACAAACAAACAAAAAAAATTAAGAACTAGAGTTTCATGAGGGAAAGCGAGTGGAAGAAGGTGGGCGGGGGGGGACGTTCAGGAACTGGGGACACCTTAGGGACTGTGTGAGGCCCTGGGTCCATCCCTGGGACCACCAACGAGAAAAAAACGGCAGCTGTGTTTGTTTTTCTATTTGGGGGCCATATCGGGTGATGCTTAGGGGCTGTTCCTGGTTCTGAGTCCAGGAGGGGCCCTTGGCCATGCTTGTGGGGAGCCAGGCGATGCCAGGGTTCGAACCAGCCTGTTGCCAAGCCCAGTCTGCGGTCTGTGAACTGCCTTCCCAACGTGATTTTGTTTGTTTTCCCATCAAAAACTAAGAATTCGGGGTCAGGAGCTAGGAGGGCAATTAGGGTGCATGCTTAGAGGGTGCCTGACCCGGGTTTTATTCCTGCCCCCACCTGACCCCCCCCAAGCACCTCAGGGTGTGGCCCTGGGTATCCCCAGAACCCCAGGAGACAAACTGTATCACAACTTCAGACCCCTGCACTGAACTTCTGAGAATCCCAGTGGGTCCCCTGGGGGCCTCCTGAGCACTGCTAGGGACCCCACCTCTCAGCAAGAACAATGAAGGCCCTTAAACTGTGTAATATAAAGCAAAGCCATCCTTGGTGCTCCCCGTTCCCTTCTGTTTCGAGTGTGAGAGCTGAGTATGGAGGGCCCAGTGTTCCCCGACGCATGTGATCTTCACAGCTCAGCCATGAGCCCGTGAGCACCACAGCCAGATGTGAGGATGCACACCATCACCCCCACCCCCCACCCCGCTTCTGTGGGCACACGAGGACCAAGCAGAAAACCTAGAACTGCGTGAGTTTTGGCCTTCTGTGGAGGCCTGTGTGAGGTGGAAGGTGGAGAAGGTTCTAGAATTACTGGAGCAGTTATTTATAAATGAGCCACTTCTGGGCCAGGCGTGGTTTTTTTTTTTTTTTATTGCTTTTTGGGTCACACCCGGCGATGCACAGGGGTTACTCCTGACTCCACACTCAGGAATTACCCCTGGCGGTGCTCAGGGGACCATATGGGCTGCTGGGAATTGAACCTTGGTCGGCCGTGTGCAAGGCAAACGCCCTACCTGCCGTGCTATTGCTCCAGCCCTGGCCCTGGGCCAGGTGTTTCTTTCCCCCTCAAAGAAACTCAGCAACTGTTGGTCAAATCCCCATCATGTGTTGTGCAGGATGAGCTCCCAAGAAGGCCATGATTTGGCTGTTCACCCACAAAGCTGGACAAGGACCCCAAGAGTGGGAATTGGAGATGTCCCAGAGGCAGGAGGAGTTCGGCAGGTGGGTCCCGGCACACAGCTCCTGTCCCCCACCTCCCCTGGGCTTGGCATCAGTGATGTCTTGGACAGAAGTATCCCCGGTGACTGCTGGCAGCTGGGGTGAAGACTCTGTTCTGCCACGACATTCGGGTGTTGATAGTGTCACTCGTGGTGGTCCACACCAGGCAGGCAGCGGGTAGCTGATGGGCATCTGAGTCTGTCCCAGCACCCAGGGTGGACACCCTCGTTTCAGGGCCTCAGTGTACCTGTGACCTGGGCGTTCCCCAGACCTATGGCCTACAGGACTGGCAAAACAACCTGACAATGTAGAGGGTCCCCCAGCCCTGCCCGAGTGGTCTCTGGGCACAGAGCCAGGAGTAAGCCCTGAGCACCGCCCAGCGTGGCCCCAAACCCATCATCATTATCTGGAGATTCTGGCCTTCATGTCTTTCTTTATCTTGGAGATTTGTTTTTTTGTTTGTTTGTTTATTTTTTGCTTTTTGGGTCACACCCAGTGATGCACAGGGGTTACTCCTGCTTCATGCATTCAGGAATTACTCCCGGCCGTGCTTGGGGGACCATATGGAATGCTGGGAATCGAACCCGGGTCGGACTGCGTGCAAGGCAAATGCCCTACCTGCTGTGCTATCACTCCAGCCCCATCCGTCTTGGAGATTTGTTCTGATTTCTCAGCAGAGCTTGTGGCACGATCTGCCCTGGGTTTGACACACGCACCGCGGCCAGCCGTGTCCGTGTGGCTTTGCCTGGCCCTATAGGAGGGTCAGGGCTGAGATGGGTGAAGCTTTCCCGGCTCCCGGCCCTTCTGAACTCCCCAGGCATTTCTCTCTTCTTTCTCAAGCTGCTGGCAGTCTCCAACATGGACTTCTCAGGGACCGTGATGCCAGTGGGAGCCGGCTAGGGACCCAGGGGCAGCCTCGAGCCCAGACCCACTGCCGAAATGCGCCTGAAGCAGAACATTCATGGAACAGGACTGGCCACTGGCCCGCCTTGCCCACGAACCCACTGTTCTGCACTGATCACCCCAGCCAAGAGCTTGACTCAGATGACCAGAGGGGAGCCGCAGAGTGACCCCCTGACCTGGTGTGGGCCAACACAGTCCCCAGAACTGATGTTCCCTCTGGAACTACCTTGACCCTAGAGTCAGGCCCGGAGTGGGCACTGGACACACTAATGAGACCTGGGCCTGACTCCACACTGGGCACTTCTGGCCTCTGCTGGGGCAGGCAGGGGGTCTGGGGAGGTTTTTTGCCATTTCTGTAGACCCTGAGAGGAGCATCTGCTGACCAGCTCCCCCATCCTCTGACAGAGACTCTCAGAGCCTTGTCCCAACCACCGAGATCAGCTGTAAGGTCCAGAGCATGTGACTGGGGACAGGGCCCCAGGGCCTAAGACACATGGCTAGGGACAAGAGGTCCAAGGTCCAGAGCATGTGACTGGAGAGCAGCAGGCCCCAGGTTTGATCCCTGGAATCGCATGGTCCCCCAAGCGCTCCAGGTGAGACCCCTCCATGCTCCCTAGTACCACTGGGCCCGAGCACCATGTCACCAGCCAGATCCCTAAACCTGAATTAGGCCCATGCACCCTAGTGGACCCTGAGCACTGATGTGGAGCACCCCAAGAGAAGTCTGATTCGAGCATCTGCCTGTGCCCATTTTTTCCCCAAGTGCCGCTGAAGAAGAATCATGGCCAGACCCCCCAAGTTGTCTCTAAGTATTACGCTCCTTATTTCTCTACCAGCAATATTTAGCCAGTTGATAAATGATTAACTTCAATTCCCGGGTCAGGCTTGCAGAACAGCACATTAGAAACACTTATTGCTAAATGCAGACCCACATCCTCAGGCAGCAGGAAAGATCCGCGGGGTGTGTGTGTTGTGGGGGGTGGGGGCTGTCTTGTAGCTTAAGCTTAGGGGAACTGGAGG